AGTAGAAAGTACAGGTATTTGTGTTCAACATGTAAGAAGTAGAAAGTACAGGTATTTGGGTTCAACATGTAAGAAGTAGAAAGTACAGGTATTTGTGTTCAACATGTAAGAAGTAGAAAGTACAGGTATTTGTGTTCAACATGTAAGAAGTAGAAAGTACAGGTATTTGGGTTCAACATGTAAGAAGTAGAAAGTACAGGTATTTGGGTTCAACATGTGAGAAGTAGAAAGTACAGGTATTTGTGTTCAACATGTAAGAAGTAGAAAGTACAGGTATTTGGGTTCAACATGTGAGAAGTAGAAAGTACAGGTATTTGGGTTCAACATGTAAGAAGTAGAAAGTACAGGTATTAGTGTTCAACATGTGAGAAGTAGAAAGTACAGGTATTTGGGTTCAACATGTAAGAAGTAGAAAGTACAGGTATTTGGGTTCAACATGTAAGAAGTAGAAAGTACAGGTATTAGTGTTCAACATGTAAGAAGTAGAAAGTACAGGTATTTGGGTTCAACATGTAAGAAGTAGAAAGTACAGGTATTTGGTTCAACATGTAAGAAGTAGAAAGTACAGGTATTTGTGTTCAACATGTGAGAAGTAGAAAGTACAGGTATTAGTGTTCAACATGTAAGAAGTAGAAAGTACAGGTATTAGTGTTCAACATGTAAGAAGTAGTGTTTTCCTGAGTGTTGCGTTTAATAGACTGGATGTCGTAAATAAAGCATTACATTTTAAGTCTTTAGTTAGCACATATCATTAATAATGGCAATGCATATCTCAAAAGAAACTAAAGTGTTTTCCTGAGTGTTTAATAAGCTACTGGATGCCATGTCGTAAATAAAAGCATTTATCTTTCTATCTTTTTGTAATGCATCTGTCTGTCTCTCCTCATGCTGTTGCCCTCAGTAGGACCTGCACGGTTACGGGGTGAAGTCGGATATCTACAGTTTAGGTATCGTTGCTTGTGAGCTGGTGAGCGGCAGGGTGCCTTTCCAGGACATGCCCCCCACCCAGGTAATAAAAACACTTCCAAGAAGAAAGTATCTGTGCATTAGGTACGGACAAATACAGGATTGTAGTGCAGATTGGGATGAAATATGTGAAAGTCAATCGTTTCCCACAATCCCGAGGAATAAAAAATACAAATATGTATATACATATATCAACAGACACATTTGTACAATTGCACACATTAAGACATCAATAAAATCACAACAATCAATTTGCATAAAAGTGTTTCCTTACATTCATGGGTCATTGTATTTACAGTAATTTCTTGGTACAATCTTGCCTATAAAAACGTATTAAGTGTTGATGGAAAGCACTTTGAATATGCTATATAAATAAACGTACCTTACCTTTGATTGTCTGATTGTGCAGATGCTGCTCCAGAAGCTTCGCGGTTCCCACTGTTGTCTTTTAGACGTGGCTCCGTTCCCACTGAGTGAACTGGGGGGTCTGAAAGTGTCTCGATCCGGCGTTGACTCTGGAATCGGGGAAAGTGTCGCGACGGGAAGTATGACCCACAGCGCCACCGCTCCTCCCACCGAACGACCACAGAGCCCCGCACCCAAAAACCACTCGGCCACTTTGCACAATCTGGTTCAGCTTTGTCTTCAGCAGCAGCCGGACCGAAGGTTAGCTAAAGAATCTGTTAAAAAAAATCTATAAGACAACTACAACTCATTCAGAAGTCCTCATCAACTCTCTTAGGACACAAACACATGATATAATATCAAATTTAAGTAATTCAAGTTTAATTAAAGGATTTTTCGCAGATTTTGCAACTCCATTTCCTCAGTAAATAGTCATAAGATGATATGTATAGGTGTTAGAGATTACCTATTGTTTGCTATGAAACATTAGTGTATATTTGTGTATTTATTTATACAAGAAACCACCTTTTTTCACTTCTGTCTCCACTTATAGTGGGTTAAGTACATTCTTAGAATAAGTGAGAAATGGATAGAACTTCTGTTTTCACAGCTATCACACTGGAGAAATTATTTAAATTTATGGCATTAATAATTAATATCTAACCATTATTTTATCGCTTTTATGAATTGTTTTGTTTCTGTTTGTTTTGAATTATTATGTGTTAAATGCCTATGTGAAGCACTTTGAATTGCCTCTTTGTCTTAAAATGTACTATACAAATAAACTAACCTTGAACCTTAAAGGACCAGCTAGCTTTACTTGATGAATGAATCTGATATCATTGCAGATATGACTTTTTTTTCTCTATCTCCCATAGGCCGTCTGCATCTTCACTTTTGACCCACGCCTTCTTCAAACAGGTGACTTTATTAAACATGTCTGCTCCTCTCAGCTGTAAACCCTAAATGCCATTGTTTTGAGCAAATGTGTCTTTTCTTTTCCAGGTGAAGAGGCACACCAGAGAGACTTTCCTGAATCTAATGTATCCAGCAGTGCCCTTTTCCAGTCCTGATGATCCTCCAGTGTCTTGCCCCCCCGCCTCCTCATGCCACCCTCCTTCATCCCCCGAAACTACGGAGGCTGTTTGGGACTTTTCCTAACTCCAAAAAATGATCTGAAAAAAAAATCCTGACTAGAAAAAGCCAAACGAAAGGACAATCAAAGCAAAAGCAACAAGGCCAAATTCTACTGTGCTTTGAATGGGATGGGATGTGGGATGTGTATTATCATCCCTACTCGCTGAGCCTTTTTTTTTTTTAAAGTATATCGTTTTTTAGATACGTTTGTCTGATGCGTATATGGTGACATTACTGTGAAAGTGCTGGATCATCAATGAACTGTCAACATGTCACAGGACAAAACACTAATTTGTTGACTTACAATCACGCACTTCCTCTGAGATTAAAAGGCAACTATGATACTACAGTTATACTAAACAGTATGTTGTTGTTATGGTGTTATATCCTAATAGGTACTTGGAAAATAACCCCTGTAGTGTCTGAGTATCCGAGGTTAGATGCAATATGTATTCAGACTGTGAATAGTGAATACAGAGGTACGTAATGGGACATTTATAACAGCAAGAGAGAAACATCAATCTTACATTTGCATAAAAGTGCTTCCATGGGTACATTTTCAAATATGTAAATATTTTTCTGCTGTACTCTTGAACATATATGCACATTGTTTATTGTATTAACACTCATTTCTTAGTGCAATCTTGCCTATAAAAACGTAGCAATAGAATAGATGTGATGTCTTAATGTAGGGGTTATCCATAGACACTGTAGAGAAGTCTTCCCAGCCCTTATTGTCGGTGATTCACCAGAAGATTATTTTTTAACGTGCTTACTTATCCAACAATGCCTTTCTGTTCTGATAATCTGATCTATTTGTAACTGTGATTGAGTGTACTGTGTATGAGAACTGTGATTTACAGAACTTATCGAACATGGTAGCTGTATGAGCCTTATATATACACGTATAGTTATAAATTATATATAAATATGAATATGCAAACTTTGATTTTCTTGACTTATTTGTTTTCCATTCATACATCCTCTCTTAGGACACAAACGCATGATATAATTAAGCAATAGCTCACGACAGGCCGTGGTATATGCTCATTATATCACAGCTAAGGGGCGTGGTTCGGCCCGACGCGAAAAGTTTGCTTTTCAGCCCAACTGTATACTGTTTATCTCAGACGCGGAGGGATACTGAGTTGTTGTGAAAAGTAACTTACAATTCTACGTATACCACGGCTAAGAACCAATCAGATTGCTTGATTTTACTTGTCCGTTTTATAATATGTTTTAACTGATCTCAACTTAATGATAAAAATAAGAATTGTATTGTAACAGTATTGACAAATTCAAGTAATTCAAGTTGAATTAAATGAATTTCTTGCTGATTTCGCAGCTCTATTTCTTCAGTAAATGGTCATAAAATGATAGAAAAACTGTGATGGAGGTGTTACAGTGTACCTATTGTTTGCTATAAAACATTAGTGTATATTTATGGCATTTATTTACACAATAAAACTCCTCCACTGACACATTAGAGTCAATATAGACAAGTTCTAGTTTTAGTAAAGATGTATTAACACAACTTATCCAGATCACTCTTTCGTACACAGTTTAAAAAATAAGAGTATTTTACAATATCTACTCTCGTGCAGTAGCATTTGTTCCCACGGTTTGATCAGATTTGCTCGTGTCAGTGCAGACATGTGGGGTAGAAGTCGTCTCCTTACCCTGGCAGATTGTGCACCTCCTCCAACGTTTGGAACTTTGTACCAACTCACACAGCAGAAACGCCCCCCAGCCTGCTCACCATGCAGAGCTGGGAAGTAAGTACATTTACAAAAGTACTCTACTAAAGTTCATTTTGAGGTACTTTACTTGATTATTTCCATGTTATGCTCATACTTCATACTTCTACTTTTCTACAGTTCAGAGGTAAATGGTGTACTTTTCCTCCACTACATGTATTTAATACCTTTAGTTACTTCACAGATCTGGATGAATGATGTGAAATCTAATCAAGTGTTAAATCAGACTTTAGTTCCACCTCCTAGAGTAAATCCACAAGCTACCCTGCAGTATACAAAGTCATTCAAACTAGCTGCACCTTTACCAGCTTTGAGAACACTTTCATGATCAATCATTATAAAACATATCATATATATTATTCTGAAATGGACCAATCTGCACAATGACTACTTTTACTGTCGCTACTTTCACTATATTTTGATGATAATACTTTTCTACTTTCACTTGAGGAACATTTTGAATGCAGGACTTTTACTGTAACAGAGTATTCCTACACTCTGGTACTTCTACTTTTACTCAAGTACAAGATCAGAGTACTTCTACTTTTACTCAAGTACAAGATCTGAGTACTTCTACTTTTACTCAAGTACAAGATCTGAGTACTTCTACTTTTACTCAAGTACAAGATCTGAGTACTTCTACTTTTACTCAAGTACAAGATCTGAGTACTTCTACTTTGACTCAAGTACAAGATCTGAGTACTTCTACTTTTACTCAAGTACAAGATCTGAGTACTTCTACTTTTACTCTAGTACAAGATTGATTACTTCTTGTACTCAAGTACAAAATCTGAGTACTTCTACTTTTACTCAAGTACAAGATTGATTACTTCTACTTTTACTCAAGTACAAGATCTCAGTACTTCTACTTTTACTCAAGAACAAGATCTGAGTACTTCTACTTTGACTCAAGTACAAGATCTGAGTACTTCTACTTTTACTCAAGAACAAGATCTAAGTACTTCTCCTTTTACTCAAGTACAAGATCTGAGTACTTCTACTTTTACTCAAGTACAAGGTCTGAGTACTTCTACTTTTACTAAAGTACAATATCTGAGTACTTCTTCTTTTACTCAAGTACAAGGTCTGAGTACTTCTACTTTTAAAGTATCAGCTCAACAACTTGATTGTTTTCTGGTCCAATAGTGGCATCTTGTGGATATTAGAGGACGCTACGAGCATTCAGAGTTAATGTGCAAACAGGATGTGCGGTTGTGCATCAAAAGTGAAAGTAATGCAAACCAGGGAGGATTCAGACATTGAGCACGAGGTTGTACCGTTGGATTCATGAACAACGTCGACATCTTACCTCAGAGAGAAATCCCTGAAGCTCTCTCTGTGCCACACAGGTGAGTGATTCTACAATTTAGGGTACATTCCATGTCCATTGATGTCCATTGATGATAATTATAATTATTCTAACTATTTCTTTCTTCAAAAATATCATATTTTGCCCTATTATGGAAAGCATGTTATAATATCACACAAACATTATGTGCATCCTATGCTTTATTTAGCTTGAAATGTGTCATGATGTTCTTAAATTGTCAGTTTTTGCTATGTCCGTTTTTCAGTTGAGGGTGTCTTGGTTTCAAAATAATGAATAAAAACCATTAAAGTAAATAATAATAATAATAATAATAAAAAAGTATTCATTTATTTCAAAAGTCTAAATAATAAAGAATAATAACATATTTTTAATTGATTTCCTCTTTTAAATAATTTAAATATCTTAATATATGAATGTCCGCAAAAGTTCTGTCAACTATGTTACTAACAGAACTCCACCCTTTAACTCAAACATGGTTTGTCCCAATACCATGTTACCAGCATCACATGATGCCATGTTCCTCTTTGGCAGACATTTTGAACACACTGGGTGATTGTCCTCTAACTTTTTACAATATGTTATGTATAATAGCACATTGTCAATGAGTATATTAATTGACCATCAACAATGTTACGTACATTGTTATGGTTTACAATTGTTTAATGATTTTAATTCAATTATATGTTCAAATGTGATGTTAACCTGTTCAAGAAAATGACATGTGATCATCCAGGCAAGGCCTACCATTGAAATGATGGCTCAAAATAGGGAAATTGTCAACTAGGTTACCTGTCAACTGAGTTACCCAGTACTGTAATAACTATAGTAACCTAGTTGACAATTTGTATGACATTTAGACGTCATTACACATCATTATCAATGGAATTTTGCACTTCTGCCTTGAAATGAACATAGTGCTGATGGTTAATAATGTGTCCAGTCAACTATGTTATTTGCGTCAAATGTTTGACTTTCATTGTCAACTATGTTGCACCTCATTTTTTCAAATTTAAAATATCTAAAATAGTGCTTCTGATATCCTTTATAGTATAATGTATATCTACACAGGTTGGAGTTTTACATAACATCTCTTAAAACTATCAAAATGACCTGTATGGTAGTTTTATAATACAAAATATCCCTAAACTTAATGACAGTGCTGAACATATCACATGAAAAAACAAAACTTTAATACAATTATTTTTTAAACTTTAAAAAATCTTTGGATATATGGTAGAATAGACTCAAGAGCCTTTCAAATTTGATTTTACTTGAAGTGCAGGACTTAATCAAATGATTGTAATGACATCAAGTTTGTCCGTAACATAGTTGACAAACTGAGTAGTGAAAACATCCTTTCCCTTAAATAAAAAAATAAATAAAAATGTTTAAGCTTTGCAAACTAGTGGATATGTTACACTGAGGAATATACTAACTTGAACCACTGATTGTTCTGTTGAGAAAGAACACTTTCTTTGTACTGTTTTGTTGATGTGAAATGCACCCTAAATTATAGAATCAGTCAGGTAAGTTTAATAAAGAAGAACAGGACAAACAGCGTTTTAGCTATCTTTCATATGAACACAGCACACAGGCCTACTCTTGCGTTCCCGATATCATCGCACAAGGAATCATTCATTTAAAGACAAAACCTGTGGATGATCATTATGTTTTCAACTTGTATTACTTTAGTTATTAGCTCTTCACCATGTTTTAAGATTTCAGTGTGTTTTAGTTAACTTATTTCCCAACTATGCTCAAAGTGTATCAGAAACATAGATATTATATATCTCAGGTATCAGAGCAGAGCATTAATCCAGCACCAAACTTGTGAAAATGGCCCATAACGTTTGATTTGTTAAGAGAATGTGATAAATTGACTTTGGTCACGTCCTGTAGGGGTTTAGGTTTTATTTTGAAAGGAACAGCCGGATGTGACAGTACTAACGGAAACATTAACCAAAACGTTAACGGACGGAACTCACAAGCCTCATCCCATGATGTGCAATTCATTTCTTAAGGTTATACTAACAATTTAAGTCATGTTTAATGATCTTGAACGTCACTAAAACATAGCTATTAATAAAGCTATTTCATGAATGGCTAGATCTTGATAAATAACAATTATTTGTATTGTTTTGTGTTAAGATATTCTGGAGTTAAATTATTTAAAATTCACAGTCCTGAATGTGGGTTTGTGGTGAATGTGGGGATCTACAGGACACACATTTTCAGAGTAAAGGCTTTCACATTACTATAATTATATTTGTATTTAAATGTACATTTTACACCAAAACGGAACACAAAAGCAGGACCAACCATCATACATTGAATTCCTTGACTAACAAGAGAAAGATTCATTCATTTAAATAAATATTTAACAACAAATGGGCCGGTTCTAAAGGGTTATTCAGTTAAGCCCGATGAGAGGGGATACAGCTGTGCACATCTCATCATTAACAGACGTCGTTTAAAAGTGACGTTTGAGTGAACGAGGACATCCCAATTAATACCTGAGCACTCCTCTGTCCTCGCGTCTCCTCCTCGTGTCTCTCGCTGGCATCTTACGGAGGCGGAGCTAAGACGCAAGGAAGGGACGCGAGTGAGGGAAAGGAGGAGTCGAGGAGGGGTATTGAGATGAGGCTACAGTGTTAAATTATTCAGTTTAATGGGAGGTTAATGATGTCTTATTGTTTTACCTGCGTTGAAAAAACACCCAAAGAAGATGTACGTCACTCATTTATTTGTAAGTATTTTCAGAATGTTATATTTTTGATGTAATAAGTTAGCTAACTGTGTAGCTGTAGGCAATATAGCATACAGTTAACGGTTCTAATGACGTCACTGATGGATTTACAAACTGCCAAGCTAACAGTTACCTATTTATTTAAAGAGGAAATTATACTACTAATTAACTCATATTTGTAAATGTGTACCTTGTATTTGAGGTTTAAGGGTAATAAACGTTAAAGTAAATATACTAGTTTGTACTTGTAACAGACAGCTAACGGTTTTCCTTAACAGTTAAAACCCTCAGTGCAATTTAGCTTAGAAACATAGCTTTTTCATTAGCAAGCATTTATTTTTTGCAATAATTGTTTCATAATTACACAATGAGGTTTTAACACCAAATAACTAATTACATACATGTACAAATATAAGTATCCTCAAGTATTGTTGTATGAAAACACAAATGCCAGGTAAATATATAGTAGTAATGCCCTCATCGTAATTAAAATCGTGTCTAGTTTCATTAACAGACCCATGTCATAAATAATGTTGTATATTTGCTTATTTACTAAAAACAGCTTTGACCAGGGGCGTCATTTATAAAGCCTTGCGTAGTATTGAAGTGGGAAGGTTGCTTACGTAGGACAAAGCAAATAAATACGCACAGACATTTTCCGATTCATAAAACACTGCTTACCGGTGTAGGACTTGCGTACGGCACATCCTACGCCGGTTTCCCTTTTATAAATCACAATCAACTCGAAATGCGGCGCAGCTTTTGCGGGCTTCACGTAACGCCCATATTTGCCTATAAATAGTCAAAGAAACGCCCATTCATTCATTAATTTTGACTGACTGCATGAAGAAGATCGCAAGGAAATGACGACGGCACAGCTAAAAAGACATCTCACACCGTGTCAGATTTTTGGTTATTTTGGGGGGTCGAGATAAATCATATGTTTGGTGGATGCAGTTTGAACCAGAGTAGCAGCATGGAGGTCGGATCGTCACCAAAATAAATAAATAAGTGGTCCGAAAAAAGTTAATGACAAAAAAAATACAACATAACCTTCCTCAGGCAGTGTGTTTGTCCCGGGGACAGGAGAGACCCCCTTGATGAGAAACTGTAAGAAATGATCGGGGAATCCCTCCGGAGTGGAGTCATGACGACTGGATCTGAATTATGTTTTTTTATTTGGTGGTTTGTGTTCCAGCTGTCGATCTGTGCGCAGCGTCTCCACTGCAGCCTGTGCATCTTTAATCATTTTAAGATTGGCTTTAATCAATGTTTGAAAATGAATTCTTCATATTTGATAAATGAGAGGTAACATTTTATTTATGGTATTATTTCCACATATTTCTCTCCATTCTTCCTTCTGCCAACGGTGCAGTTTCTCGTCTCTCCCGTTGTTGTGCTTAGTGCGTACGCATGGGTTAGAGTGTGCGTAGAGGACCGCACATTTTCCCGTCAAGTTTGTTTTTTATAAATCGCAAACATTGCGTAGAAACTGGCGTACGCCATCTTTTGAGCGTACGCACCGTTTATAAATGAGGACTGTCTTCAGAATCAGAATTCCTTTATTCGTCCCACAGAGGAGAAATGTACCATTGTTACAGCAAAGAGACAAATGGTGCATTTCCACCATGGCGCGGAGCGCGGTTTAAGTGTGCCGTGTCGTGCCGTGCCCGTTTTTGGTTGCGCTTCCACTAGGCCTAGTTACGGACCGGCCCGGCCCGGGGCCACTTTTTCACCTCTTTTCTGGCCCGACAAAATTGTGGTTCTATCGGGGCCAACAAACAGGGCTGAGTCGGGCTGAGTATGCTAAACTAGAGAGAGGATCGCTGGCAAGGGGGCTACAACTACAACAAGATGGACATATTTGACCGTGATTTAATTGTAATACACGTTTCAAAATGATGCCGAAGTAACAACATACTGATACCGGTTAGTAAAAACCATGAATTAATGCTTTGTCAAGTCTGCAGACAGACGGCAGGCGAAAAACCTTTTAAAATGCGTGTTTTCTAGATGGAGATTGGCTAAGCTAACGCAGTATATGCTCCGACCGTCCACACTCACAACAACGGCCTATACAGACATAAATAAAGCAGCGACTGTATTCACCATGACACAGGCAGTCTGTGGTGTGTACTTGTTTAACTTTTGTCGAGTTTCTGAACATATATAAGGAGCTGTGAGCTGTGAGTGCTAACAGCTAACGGCTGTGTTGTTTGTCTGGGGTTCTCATTGAAGATGACGTCACGGCTCCGTCTACACTGCGTTACTATAGTAACTACCCCAGTTCCTAAACTGTAATGGAAGCGCAGCATGAAGTGAGCCGGCCCTGTTAAGGCCCAACACGGCCAAGCAGTACCGAGCGTGGCCGAGGCCGACCGTGTGGTGGAAATGCGCCAAAAGATAGCTTAATATCTCTCAAGAAGCATGCAGAAAAAAATTATATATATTAAAGATATAATACTAGAAATACACAATTTAGAAGATCTACATCCAGCAACAATAACAGTTTAGCGATATAGCAGCCAGGTGAAAGTATAAAAGGTGGTAGTATACATTTTACAGCTATTTACGGGTAAATATATATTGCACATGAGTAGTATTGCACAACAGGAGTTTAATAGTCTTTGTTATATGTGTGTGTGTGGGGTCTACCAGGGGCCGTGGTGGTTGTGCAGCCTGACCGCTGCAGGAAGGAAGGACCTGCGGTGTCTCTTTCTCTCTCTCTCTCTCCCTGTGAGACATCGCGGGACAGCAGCCGGTCGCTGAAGGAGCTGCACGGTGAGGACAGGGTGTCCTGGAGGGGGGGGGCACATTGTCCAGCAGGGAGGACTCCATTCCCCTGTCTCCCACCACCTCCACAGTGTCCAGAGGACTCCCCAGGACAGAGCTTATGGTTTGTTACTGTACATTTATGAATTACATTTTTAGGGTTTTGTTGTTATCTGAAAAACATGCACAAGAGGTAAAAGTACTTTTTAGTCTTTTTCTCAGGCTGCTTTGACTCGATTATATTTTACTGATTCTTTTTTTGTTGTTTTTGTCATCAGGAAAAATCATGTATTAAAGGCTCTCAACATCTGATGAAGTCTTTCATCAGTGTGGACCTTAAGGCCTCAGTGTAAGTGTCTCTGATATACAGCTCACATGTTGTATTGTTGGTGAATGTATGGATGATTTATATGTTCAGAGACTTGTATGTTAGAACATTTCAAGTGTTGACTGGTGGTGAAAAAGCATGTTACTGTTTGACTAGTACTGTTCACACTAGGACAAACAGCTATCCATTTTCTTTGCATTAGCACGTTTACTGACACAATAACAACTTGTTGGCATGAATTCAATGTTTTGTGTGAGCTACTTAATTTTCAACAGAGATGTGATGAAACAGTTGTAACCATTACACATAGAGTTAAGAGAAGGTCAAGACTGTTTAAAGAAGTGAGCCAATGAGAAAAACTGTATCATTGACGCCAGATCCTCCCCCTGCTCTTCTTATCTGCCCTGAATTTATTTGATTCCTTTTAGATCTACAGATTTACGTTATTTTTTGTTCTCTACAGTAGATCATTGAAATTGAAGCAGAAGACACCGAAGTAATGAAACATGGCTTCTTCAACACATTCAGCTGTAGAGTACGTCAGGGGGGCCAGAACCCATCTTGTGAAAAGATTAAAGAATCACTCAGTGATTCTAGAGAACTTGACTTCAGCAAGGAGTGTTACGAGATGAAGAGGTCTGCATAATACAAGCAGAAGGGAATGACTACAATAAAAACAGAAAACTTATAGACTCTGTACCGATAAGGGGGGAGAAAGCCAGCTATATATTTCTCGAAATTATTTACATGATGAGGAAGAGGACCCTGGGGAGGACATCCCTTCTCCCTGAGAAACAGACTGTAGCTTCTGCTGAGAGCGAGACGTTTCGACCTGCACCACTGGATCAGCTGCTTCCCTTTCAAGGAAGACGCACAAATGGGAAAAAACTACCTACAAGGTACGTAATATAGTTATGTAACTAATATAGAAAGTCACGTCTTCATTGCTGATGTTTGATGGGCTGTGTCATCTGGAAATATGCATCCACTATTTAGTATGAGGGTACAGCATGCAATTTACAATATTTATTTACTTACTCACTGTTGTTTTTATTTTAGGTCCAACACCGTGCCACCGTTACCAGGCAAAGTTGAAGTCAAAAGCACAACAAATATCAAAAGAGTTTTGGACAGCAAACAAAGATCTGTTTGAAGAAAACAACAAGCCTGATCTGTCGTACATGCCACTTGTATTGGACACACAAGGAAGGGTTTCTGCCTCTAAAATAAAGAAATTGAAGGGCAAGAAAGGCAAGATGAGCCGTCCTAAAAAACTACAGACCTACATCCCTAAGGACAAAGCAGACATTTCTCCCAGTGTCCTGCTTAAAACAGATAAGAACATACTCTTGGTTGGTAAGTCTGGGATTGGAAAGACAGCACTCGTTCATGAAATGTTAAAACTCTGGACAGAAAAAGATGACAAGGAGCTAAACTACATGTTTTACTTTGACATGAGAAAAATATCCAACATCAAGAGCCTGGAGGACCTTCTCTTCAATGAGTTCAGTGAGCCAGATGAAGGCAAAGACGAGGTCTTACAGGACATAAAGAATAACTCTGACAATGTTACACTAATTTTTGATGGAATCACAGATCTGTCTTCACCAGTAGTGAAGAGACTTGTAAAAAAAGATTTGCTACAATACTCCAAGGTCGTTTTGACTTGCAGACCAGATGACGAAGAAGACCACCTTGAAGAAGACCTTCCTTCTGAGGACTTTCTCAGAGTGGAAGTGAAAGGCTTCAGTGAGCAGACCATAAAAACATTCATATCTGATATGCTACCTGAAGGAGAGGAGAGGGTTTTGAAAAAGGTGGAGTTGTTAACGCTTTGCCATGTACCGATGTATGCACTGATGGTGGCTGCATGCTTTTCATTTGAGGCATCAGAGAACTTTCAAAAGCCTTGCTGTATAACTGATATCTACATCAACATTTTCCGTTTTTGCCTCAAAAGAAACAGCAACACAAAATACATTCATCTAAATGCCTTCATCAAAAGCAAGAGTGAGGAGATACTGTCTTTGGCTGAGGTTGCTTTTCGTGCAACTGAAGGAAAAACTGTGAACCTGACACTACCTCTCTTTGGAGACAGCTGTGTCCTCTCCTTGCTCAAACAACTTGTTATCAAAGTCGACCCTACTGAGAGAATAACCACTTGTGCATTTCTCCATTACACAATGCAGGAGTTTTTTGCAGCACTGTGGCTCTTGAAGAATCCAGATTTAATCAGTAATGTTTTTCAGCAATGCCTCACTGAGGAGAAGAGGCACATGAAACATCTGATCCCTTACATGTGTAGATTGTTGACTGAGAAGAGCCGTAGTTTGATGGAGTGTCTGATTCCTGCTGAGGAGCTCAAGAATACATCAAACTGGTTCTTCAAGAAAGTGATTTCCACATTCCTTCCTAGTCTGTGTGAAAACGATGAGCCTGAGGACAGTGGGCGCATACTGTTCCTATGCCAGTGCTTATATGAGTCCCAGTGTCCTGAAGCATGCATCGACCTTCTGGAAAAACTGGACTATCGTCTTGATCTCAGTAAAGAGAGTCTCGATCCTTACCCCTGCTGTGCTGTGGCCTACGTGATCACTCAGTCCAAGGAGAAGAAAATATGGCTGAACCTTGAGGACGTCACCATATCACAACAAGGAATGAGACCACTATTAGGATGCCTTCAAAATGTCCAATGGTATGGATGAGCAGTTATTAAAGGAGACCTATCATGCAAAATGCACTTTGTGATGTATTTTATACATAAATATGTATCCCCGGTCAAGCTCTCTTTTCCTCCGTACCCAAATCTTTTAAAAAAGATGTAGATTTGCTGCTGCAGGGAGCTTCTGTTCGTGCCTGAGGGGAAACGTTGCCCTTTGTACACGCTCACTTTGTACACACTCACTTTGGACACACTCACTTTGGACACACTCACTACACACTCGCTACACACTCACTTTGGACACACTCACTACACACTCGCTACACACTCACTTTGTACACACTCACTTTGTACACACTCACTTTGTACACAGAAATCTACATCTACAGAAGGTGTACGAGCGGATACAGATTCCATCCGAACTGACGTCAAATCGGCAGCGGACCCACAGAAAGTTGCTATCAGAAACAATGCCTGACGTGTTTTGGACGTCTTTGTTTACATTAGCAAGCGTCGCTAACACTCAGAGCTAACCTGTACTGAAGAGCACATGTGTTTTAAAAAGCAGGAAATAAAAAAAGAACTCACCTTGTGATAAACCTGCAAGAGAAAAAGCATTTGAGCTCCATACTGTTTCAGAAATAATCCTTGATGTGGTTTAAACAGGATGGCGTTTTATCACAGCAGAATTTAACTTTATCTCCGGTAGAACTCTTCTTTTATTTTTTTCAAGCTAAGGACCCAAAATCCGCGTTTCTCTAACAGGGCTTCAAAAGAGGGGTTTGAGCAGTATGAGGCATGGCTACAATGGGTGATCTGTTTGGGATTTTGAAAAATAAACTTCACAGACATGTTTTATATAGGTATGGCCCTACAATATATTTTTCAAATATAGCATGATAGGTCCACTTTAAATTACTGCTAAGGTTAAAACACATCTAATTAGGTAGAATTTAATTGTTCAAAGTTGTAACCTTTAATATATATATACAGAAGTAATGAGGAAACGATAGCTGATAATTCTTCATATTGCAGGTGTGATTCTCTGCCACGGCAGCTGTGGGAGATCTTCCTTCTCAGCGAAGGGGAGATGGACTACATCACCTTACTTGGCCTTGATGGAAATCAGTTGCACCTTCCAGTGGGGGGGGGACAGAAAGCTGTTTGAAAGAGCAGTGACAGTCCTGCAGAAGATAAATAAGAAGGTTAAAATCTGCCTCCACTGGGAAAGGGAGACCCCTGACTGCCACAGTCTGTGTGAGACTCTGCTAGAGGCTTTGCCCTACGTCAGCTCACTCAGGTATGTAGCTTGTGTTTTTATGTATTTATGAACCTTTAGTAAAAGGGGCTGAGCCCCGGCACAATTTAACCCCAGGTAATGTTACACGTGTTTTTTTTGTTGTTGATATTTTTCTTAAGATATTTAAATTGCACTGTCGTATACATTTAATTAATCCATTTGATAATATGTAATCAACTTAGGCACCCCTCCCATAAAAAGAGAAGAAAAAAAATTACAATAAAAATATTCATAGCTCATATTCGAATACCTGAATCATTTTGAATATTCGATGAATCATTCCCATCTCTACTTCATACAGTTTACTTTGGGTGCTTTTATTGAATACAATGATTGAATAATTCTTTCTGCATTGTTTTTGCATTCACAAGTTTGTTCTAAGTGGTGCAATTTGAGAATATCTGTCTCCTCCGATGTTACACTGCAACAGAGTCCAACCATACACAGTACATGTTCACACCTGCAGTACATACGTGTCAGCTGCCCAACTGCTTCACTGTTTGTAAAAGTAAATCTTCATTTCATTAAAAAAAGTAACGTGCTATACCCTGCTTTAGAAACAATACAGTGAATTCCTCTGTCTGTCTGTCTTACTGTCCCGGGATGTGAGGACACAGACAGTGAGGTTGGTTTACTTCATAGAGGAAATGGTGGTCAAACAACATAGGATCTAAGCATTTTAATAGGTTTCATTACAATAAAGATGACGGGCGTTTAACGCAATAGCGCCCCCCCCCACTTTGGGAACCACTGCCTTAAGTTTTTTCCTTGTCTAAGTGTGCATGTTGAAATCTAAATCTCTGTTTTTGGGTGGGAAAGTCTTCATTATATTCTGAATGTGGATCAGCATTAAGGTTAAACTCAGTCTAATCACAGCAGAAATTAGGTCAGATTTAATGTATGTCTTATATTATTCAATGCAGCAATTTAAATGCTGATATTTTGTTCACCCTTTCTTTTGAACACTTATTAGTCAGCATTCTTAAAAACTATAAATAGACAATAAACATAGTTTGAATAAGTAAGTACTGCATCAGTATTTTTTTAGAATCAGGCAGGGCTCTTTGTTTCAGTTGAATCTGAACTTTGATCTCTTATGTTGACATCCAGAATTGTACTCTCTCAGAAATTCTTCAAAAGCTGTGGAGAATTAAATATTGCAATTGCATTTGATATTTAACATTAGCACAGTATTAACAGCTGTAACTTTGTTTTACATTTAAAGTTTATACAGTTCTATAGTACATGCAATGACACATGTGTTTGTTATCATGCAGCTTCAGGATGACCCTCAGAGGTGCAGGATTACAGGACCAGGAGCGATGCTATGAGACACTGAAGAGACAAGAAAAGCAGCTGTTTCTGGATTTATGCCTGAAAGCAGCTACTCACTTTCAAGGAGAAAGTGTTCACAATGAAGTGAACAACCTCATCTCTCTGTTTTCTTTTCACTATGATATGCATAACATCCTTCTGGATTTGTATCAACATGTCAAAACTCAAGAGAGTTCAGCTGTCATTCAAAAACTGAAGCCATTTTTCCAGTCAGTTCCTGCATTTTGGTTCATAAACCTCTCAAAGAGAAAGACCTCCATCTTGCTGGAAGTGCTGAGACTCCAACCAGAGAAGAAACAAGTGGAGCTGAGACGCTGCTCAGATAAAGAGAGTGAAGTGAGGACTTTGCTGCAGTGTTTGCCTTATATCTCACAGCTCAGGTAAATGGTAATCTGCAGATTCAATTTAACTTAATTTAAACCACAGCTGATGGAGAAAAGTTTGTATTTGATAGAAGCCTAACATCACAATCTCTTGATTCCTTGTGTTTTCAGTTTTGTGCCTCAGTCATCAGAACCTTCAGGTGAACTCCAGTTCTTTGGGACTCTGTTCTGTGCAGCAGGGAGAGCGCAGCAGACAGGAGAGAAGACACTGCTGCTGTTGTTATCAGTGTGCACATATCAAACAATAACTTTAACCGACATAGTATCTTATTATTTTAAGAGGAACCCTCAGTGTGATTTCCTGCTGGATCTGTACTCCCACCTGAAGGACTATGAGACTGAAACAGGTCTGAGTGTCCTTCCATCGTTAAAGTCTGTTCTCCAGTCAGCTCCTGCAGTCTGGTTCATAGACCTCTCAGAGAGAAAGACCTCCATCCTGCTGGAAGTGCTGAGACTCCAACCAGAGAAGAAACAAGTGGAGCTGACAGGCTGCTCAGATGAAGAGAGTGAAGTGAGGACTTTGCTGCAGTGTCTGCCTTATATCTCAAAGCTCAGGTCAGTCAGACAGATAATGTACATGTATTAATATTTTGTATATTTATTCAGATTCTGAAATATAAATAAACTGATAATCGACAGTGTTTCAAAAAAGACATTATTGTCATTCGCAAATAAACATGATTTAGATAAAGCTGAATCAAATCAGTATCACTTATCACACTCTTCTTCCTGTTTGGAATAATGAAATAATGTGAATCATAAAAAGAATAATGTTGCTCTGATACAACAAGACAGTCCTGCTAATACCTCCTCATACTGGAGCTATCAGAATAAAGTATATTCAGGATTAACTGGAATAGATTTAGGAGCTGATTGATAGATTCATTATCCGGCCAAAATATTGCTTTCAGCCAATAAATGAAGTGTAACTGAGCAGGATGTTTGAACAATGAGTGGTTAAGACGACTGAATGAGGGGATTTTACCCAAGTGGCTTATTAGCCATTTTCAAAAAAACTCTGTGATCAGGAAGTGAAAAGGTTCTCACTATGAAGAGATGATTATGTAAAATAAGCACTGTTTAATTGTCATGGAGTTTTAAATAATGATAGATGTTAAAATGTGTGATCCAGTATTTACAGCTTTTCAGCCCCCCTTGTTGGTTTAGGAGTGGTTTTCCAGTATAAAATACATTCTTTAATACAGAGCTGAGGAAACACCTTTGAAATCTGAGTATTGGTCCATTAAACATTTTGTTAAGTATCTAATTTCCTAAAGTTCTTCAAAGACTCACTTACAGCCCTGTTAACAGCATGTTTACTTTAATGTTCAATTCATTAATTTTACTAAATGATTCCCATTAACGGTACTTGCAAGCTTTTAGCCAATACACTCCTTATCAGTAAAGCATGGCTCTTTGTGTACTGTTGACATCATCTGATAACAACATGTTCAACCCTTACATCAATACAAATAAATACAAATCCCACATTTTGATCAATAAAGTACATTTTATCTTAATTCTTGTTCTAGTTACTGTCCGTGGATTGGAGTCTCAGGTGGAGTCCAGTTCTTTGGGACTCTGTTCTGTGCAGCAGCAGAGAGAGAGCAGCAGACAGGAGAGAAGACACTGGAGCTGTTATCATCAGTGTGCACACATCCATCATTCCCTCTTCCTGACAAACAGGGTTATGAAGAATATCAGAGTGGTTTCCTGCTGGATCTGTACTCCCACCTGAAGGACTATGAGACTGAATCAGGCCTGAGTGTCCTTCCATCTTTACAGTCTGTTCTCCAGTCAGCTCCTGCAGTCTGGTTCATAGACCTCTCAGAGAGAAAGACCTCCATCCTGCTGGAAGTGCTGAGACTCCAACCAGAGAAGAAACAAGTGGAGCTGACAGGATGCTCAGGTGGAGAGAGTGAAGTGAGGACTTTGCTGCAGTGTCTGCCTTATATCTCACAGCTCAGGTAAATGGTAATCTGCAGATTCAATTTAACATAATTTAAACCACAGCTGATGGAGAAAAGTTTGTCTTTGATAGAAACCTAACATCACAATCTCTTGATTCCTTGTGTTTTCAGTTTTGTGCCTCAGTCATCAGAACCTTCAGGTGAACTCCAGTTCTTTGGGACTCTGTTCTGTGCAGCAGCAGAGAGAGAGCAGCAGACAGGAGAGAAGAAACTGCTGCTGTTGTTATCAGTGTGCACATATCAAACAATAACCTTAACCGACATAGTATCTTATTATTTTAAGAGGAACCCTCAGTGTGATTTCCTGCTGGATCTGGCCTCCCACCTGAAGGACTATGAGACTGAAACAGGCCTGAGTGTCCTTCCATTATTCCAGTCTGTTCTCCAGTCAGCTCCTGAAGTCTGGACCATAAACCTCTCACAGAGAAAGACCTCCATCCTGCTGGAAGTGCTGAGACTCCAACCAGAGAAGAAACAAGTGAAGCTGAGAGGCTGCTCAGATGGAGAGAGTGAAGTGAGGACTTTGCTGCAGTGTCTGCCTGATATCTCAAAGCTCAGGTTGGTGGGACCATTACTGTTTATTTTATGATATTGATTTTTCTATGTGGATTTGTTAAGAAATACAAAAATAAATGACATCTGATTATGGGCAGTGTTTCAGAAAGAGACAATAGTCCTTCACTTCTGAACATGATGTAGATGAATAACATTTCCCAGTTCAGTCATTATTTTAAACCACAGTCTTCTACCAGTTTGAGAATAATGAAATGATGTGAATCCTAATGAGAGAACTTAAGCTCTGAGACAGCAACACCATCATGCTCATGCCTCATTCAGAAATAAAGACACATACAAACATAAATAAACTTGCTGATAAAACTGCTATCAGCGTTTTAACATATCTCTGTTTTAATTTAAATAAAGAGCAATTAAAAGAATAAAGGTACAACAAGTAATACTACATTTAACTACCTCTTTAACGGATACTAGCTTCAACTTTACTGACTCTAATGAAACTTCTAAAGACTGTTAGTGAGCTTTAAATACAGATTTCAGACACATGAACAATCATAACTTCTAGTCATCAGAGACAGAGGAGGTGTTACTAAACTCTGATTCACATGTGTATTATCTCAGGAGCAAAGTGAAGAGTTTCATGATGTGATGTTCTCTTCTACATGATAGGGACTCTAGATGTTGTTGTTCCACTTTTTACATTATTATATTGGGAATATCATTTTACATACAAAACTCATTCACAAAGTCAAATCCCCTCAGGTGAACAGAATCACTGGGAAGCAAATAAGAAGTGATTTGAGGAACAGGATTAGTGTCTGTGTTGTGAGTCAGTAGAAGAGCTAAGTGATGACACATGTTCTGGAAAGGTTCATTTACTGAAAGCTTTACAAAATCCAGATATAATCCTTTTAACGGCAAAGTTACTTCAATATGAGGTTGATGGACTTTACTGTGTTATGCTCACTAGCAGGTATTTGTAGACATTTAGCAGAAACGCTCCCTATCAGAGTCTTTCTCTGCTGTTGATATCATCTGATAACAAACTGTTCAATTCTCGTTCCAGTTCCTCGTTTGGAGACTCAGATGAAGTCCAGTTCTTTGGGATTCTGTTCTGTGCAGCAGCAGAGAGAGAGCAGCAGACAGGAGAGAAGACACTGGAGCTGTTATCATCAGTGTGCACATATCCAACATTCCCTTTTACTGACAAATCTGATCCTGATACTGTAGAAGAATATCAGAGTGATTTCCTGCTGGATCTCGCCTCCCACCTGAAGGACTATGAGACTGAAACAGGTCTGAGTGTCCTTCCATCATTACAGTCTGTTCTCCAGTCAGCTCCTGCAGTTTGGTTCATAGACCTCTCAATGAGAAATACCTCCATCCTGCTGGAAGTGCTGAGACTCCAACCAGAGAAGAAACAAGTGGAGCTGACAGGCGGCTCAGGTGGAGAGAGTGAAGTGAGGACTTTGCTGCAGTGTCTGCCTTATATCTCAAAGCTCAGGTTGGTGGGACCATTACTGTTTATTTTATGATATTGATTTTTCTATGTGGATTTGTTAAGAAATACAAAAATAAATGACATCTGATTATGGGCAGTGTTTCAGAAAGAGACAATAGTCCTTCACTTCTGAACATGATGTAGATGAATAACATTTCCCAGTTCAGTCATTATTTTAAACCACAGTCTTCTACCAGTTTGAGAATAATGAAATGATGTGAATCCTAATGAGAGAACTTAAGCTCTGAGACAGCAACACCATCATGCTCATGCCTCATTCAGAAATAAAGACACATACAAACATAAATAAACTTGCTGATAAAACTGCTATCAGCGTTTTAACATATCTCTGTTTTAATTTAAATAAAGAGCAATTAAAAGAATAAAGGTACAACAAGTAATACTACATTTAACTACCTCTTTAACGGATACTAGCTTCAACTTTACTGACTCTAATGAAACTTCTAAAGACTGTTAGTGAGCTTTAAATACAGATTTCAGACACATGAACAATCATAACTTCTAGTCATCAGAGACAGAGGAGGTGTTACTAAACTCTGATTCACATGTGTATTATCTCAGGAGCAAAGTGAAGAGTTTCATGATGTGATGTTCTCTTCTACATGATAGGGACTCTAGATGTTGTTGTTCCACTTTTTACATTATTATATTGGGAATATCATTTTACATACAAAACTCATTCACAAAGTCAAATCCCCTCAGGTGAACAGAATCACTGGGAAGCAAATAAGAAGTGATTTGAGGAACAGGATTAGTGTCTGTGTTGTGAGTCAGTAGAAGAGCTAAGTGATGACACATGTTCTGGAAAGGTTCATTTACTGAAAGCTTTACAAAATCCAGATATAATCCTTTTAACGGCAAAGTTACTTCAATATGAGGTTGATGGACTTTACTGTGTTATGCTCACTAGCAGGTATTTGTAGACATTTAGCAGAAACGCTCCCTATCAGAGTCTTTCTCTGCTGTTGATATCATCTGATAACAAACTGTTCAATTCTCGTTCCAGTTCCTCGTTTGGAGACTCAGATGAAGTCCAGTTCTTTGGGATTCTGTTCTGTGCAGCAGCAGAGAGAGAGCAGCAGACAGGAGAGAAGACACTGGAGCTGTTATCATCAGTGTGCACATATCCAACATTCCCTTTTACTGACAAATCTGATCCTGATACTGTAGAAGAATATCAGAGTGATTTCCTGCTGGATCTCGCCTCCCACCTGAAGGACTATGAGACTGAAACAGGTCTGAGTGTCCTTCCATCATTACAGTCTGTTCTCCAGTCAGCTCCTGCAGTTTGGTTCATAGACCTCTCAATGAGAAATACCTCCATCCTGCTGGAAGTGCTGAGACTCCAACCAGAGAAGAAACAAGTGGAGCTGACAGGCGGCTCAGGTGGAGAGAGTGAAGTGAGGACTTTGCTGCAGTGTCTGCCTTATATCTCAAAGCTCAGGTTGGTGGGACCATTACTGTTTATTTTATGATATTGATTTTTCTATGTGGATTTCTTAAGAAATACAAAAATAAATGACATCTGATTATGGGCAGTGTTTCAGAAAGAGACAATAATCCTTCACTTCTGAACATGATGCAGATGAATAACATTTCCCAGTTCAGTCATTATTTTAAACCACAGTCTTCTACCAGTTTGAGAATAATGAAATGATGTGAATCCTAATGAGAGAACTTAAGCTCTGAGACAGCAGCACCATCATGCTCATGCCTCATTCAGAAATAAAGACACATACAAACATAAATAAACTTGCTGATAAAACTGCTATCAGCGTTTTAACATATCTCTGTTTTAATTTAAATAAAGAGCAATTAAAAGAATAAAGGTACAACAAGTAATACTACATGTATCTACCTCTTTAACAGATACTAGCTTCAACTTTACTGACTCTAATGAAACTTCTAAAGACTGTATAGTGAGCTTTAAATACAGATTTCAGACACATGAACAATCATAACTTCTAGTCATCAGAGACAGAGGAGGTGTTACTAAACTCTGATTCACATGTGTATTATCTCAGGAGCAAAGTGAAGAGTTTCATGATGTGATGTTCTCTTCTACATGATAGGGACTCTAGATGTTGTTGTTCCACTTTTTACATTATTATATTGGGAATATCATTTTACATACAAGACTCATTCACAAAGTAAAATCCCCTCAGGTGAACAGAATCACTGGGAAGCAAATAAGAAGTGATTTGAGGAACAGGATTTGTGTCTGTGTTGTGAGTCAGTAGAAGAGCTAAGTGATGACACATGTTGTGGAAAGGTTCATTTACTGAAAGCTTTCCAAAATCCAGATATGATCCTTTTAACAGCAAAGTTACTTCAATATGAGGTTGATGGACTTTACTGTGTTATGCTCACTTGCAGGTATTTGTAGACATTTAGCAGAAACACTCCCTATCAGAGTCTTTCTCTGCTGTTGATATCATCTGATAACAAACTGTTCAATTCTCGTTCCAGTTCCTGGTTTAGAGACTCAGGTGGAGTCAAGTTCTTTGGGACTCTGTTCTGTGCAGCAGCAGAGAGAGAGCAGCAGACAGGAGAGAAGACACTGGAGCTGTTATCATCAGTGTGCACATATCCAAGATTCCCTCTTACTGACAAACAGGGTGATGATGATGATGATGAGTTTGATTATGAAGAATATCAGAGTGATTTCCTGCTGGATCTGTACTCCCACCTGAAGGACTATGAGACTGAAACAGGCCTGAGTTTCCTTCCATCATTACAGTCTGTTCTCCAGTCAGCTCCTGCAGTCTGGATCATAGACCTCTCACAGAGAAAGAGCTCCATCCTGCTGGAAGTGCTGAGACTCCAACCAGAGAAGAAACAAGTGGAGCTGACAGGCTGCTCAGATGGAGAGAGTGAAGTGAGGACTTTGCTGCAGTGTCTGCCTTATATCTCACAGATCAGGTCAGTCATACTCTATATTTATAATATTAAATATATTCCTCAGAAAGGTTCATTAAAAAGATCCAGTAAAAAATCAACAACACATTGGAAGCAGTTTATTCACTGAAATGTATAAATGTATATTCTGTAGATAAATGAAATGTTTCAGTTTAGTAATGAATTAGCACAACAGACAGAGCAATGCTTTATCACATGGAATACCACACATGCACTTAAACTATTTCATCCTATTTGATTTTCTTTAAATGTCATTCTTGATTAAAGACCTTGCAGATAAGATGGTTGGCAGTGCAGCATTTATTGTACTTGAGCTTTGCCTTCTCACTGTTCATCCATATTGTTGTGTTTCAGCTGTGATCCAGAGTTCTTCCAGAGAGTGAGTACGTTCATCTCTGTCAGATCCAGAGAGGAGGCTGAGAGGTTGGCCTCTCTGCTGCAGCTCTCAGGGTTCACCCTGCTGCTATCAGGAGAGTTACCCAGGAAAACCTGCCTGTCTGTGGGGAGAGTTCTCCAGCTGTGTGGCTCTAAAGTGGATCTCATCCTCAAACCCAGAAAGATGTCTGTCAAGGGAGCCTTTGCTCTCTTTAGACGAACAACACAACTACACAGTCTCAAGTGCGCATTTAAACACTTACTCTTTTATTGTTATCATGCCATTTCTTTGAATGTTCAGTTGGGGGATAAAGGTAAATTATGGTACAATTCTCTTTCTTTGTTTCCAGGCTTTCTAACGACATGGCCTTGCTGCTGGGTGGCTGGGTGAGGAGATGGGGAGTGGTCTGTCAGGTGACTGTTGAAGAGCTTTCTCTCTCCCCTCAGACCGCCCAACCATCACACAGAGTGTTGTTGAAGGTTGTCAGTAGCTTGGCTTCCCTGCTGAGATACTGGGCAGTGAGACAGTTAGACCTGACTGAGGTCTGTGTTCCTGCTCTGGGTCTCACACCACTGCTGCTTCATGATGGCCCTCTCAAAATCAAGTAACAGTCCCTGTGGAGCCTCATACACTCACAATGATTCATGCAGATGATATTAATGTTCACATATATTCATACACTGTTTCCTGCAGACTGAGTGAGAAGAATGTCCAGCAGCTACTCTCCCTGCTCCATGAACTCCAGGATGAGGACTTGACCTGGTCCTTCTTGAGTAAGTTAGGAGGAGACCTGACCTCCTTCTCTCTGAACTGGGAGCTTCTCCATCTTCTACTGCAGCATCCATCAGCTCAGACCCTCACTGTGAACATGAGGAAGAACCTTTTCTTACAGGAGAACGTCACACGTCTGCTTCCCTACCTGGACAGGATTGTGTTTAAAAGGTCATCAATAGAGTCGTTTATCCTGTTTTATATTTAAATACATTTAGTTACTTCTTTTACTAAAGTGTGTTCATTAAAACTCTTTCAGGCCCTGTCCCAGCTTTGTGTTGACTGCTATCAGGGAGATTTACAAAGCTCGAGCCAGTTCCATTATACCCAGTTTACTGAGGTCCTTGGATCATGTGATCAACCTGACCTGCAGAGAGATGTCATCAGTGGACTGTGATGCTCTGCTCTACACCCTCACACACAGTGATGGAGTCAAACTGAACCTCCTGTGGACCTCCATACCAGCATGGAAAACACAGTCCATCCTCTTGAACCTGGACAAAGTTTCTCAGCTCAGGTCGGACAAATATAGTTCTAAACGTGTATTGATCTCGGTCCAGCTGTACTTTACCATCCGTCAAACACCAATATCAGTGAATGGAAACAGCAGGGTGGAACAGCACAACACTTTCAGCCACTTATCTTTCGATGTTAAAGAGGCACATTTTTGAAAAGGCAAACCAACAGCAATAAAAACATGCATACATATTCTCTTCTTAGCTGGACATCTGTTTCCAACCATTTTGATCTATTATTAATGTGATAAGCACTATGTTCTATTACTGAGAGAAATTAAGGACAAAACTGCAATAAGACCCCGGTTGATGAGAAACATAATTATAATTAAAAAACATTTTCTCAGTCAATGAAGCTTTATGGATAAGTGGTTTGTTTAATTGTTAAATGTTCTCCCAGTGTTGACAGGAACCTGCTGCTGAGGATGGTCCACGGCTGCGCTGCCTCTGATGCCCAGCAGGGGGCCGCAGAGTCTCTGCTCAGGACTGTGCAGCACAGGCTGGATCTGTCCTGCTCCTCCTGTGTGGAGCTGCCTGAGGAAGATCAGAGTGACACTCTCCGTCTGACGGCTGAAGACTGCAGGGCCGTCTCCACCATCCTGACACGCAGCAGACGGGGAACACAGCTCATCCTGCAGGACTGTGAGGTTCAGGACAGCGGATTAGAACTGCTGTTTCCTGTCTTACACAAAGTAAAACTCAGGTACGAAGACCACTAAACCAGAGAAGAAGCTGTTTCTATACATCTTTCTGCATCACATCAGTTTGCTCTTTGCTCTGTGTCTCCTGTTCAGAGCCAGTAAAGCTGTCCTCCTGCAGCTGGTGTCCCTGGTTGCTGTGAACAGTGAGAGGGACACAGTGGGACGGGCAGTGTCCCTCTGCAAAGCCCTGGAGGGAGAGCTGGACCTCAGTCACAGCTCACTGGATCAGAGGGCCTGTGCAGCCTTGGCCCTGATGCTGGACTTCTCTGAAGAGCTGACAGAGCTGGACCTCAGTCACTGTCAGCTCACTGACCAGCTGCTGCTCACACTCAGCGCGCAGCTGCACAAAGTGCAAGTCCTCGAGTGAGTGGCAAAGGTGTCCATGTGGAAAATAGGTTTAGTGGAGGTCATCATTAGTTTGGGGTGTGAATCTCTCTGTGTCTTATCATCTGATTCAGGGCTTTGTTGACTGAAACCTGTTGTCCAAAATCAGTCTGAAGATACGCTGTAATCAGAACTCAGGCAGTCATACGGCGGTGTCAGAAAAGTGAACATAATGTTTGTTTGGACTGTACCTATACTGCCCAGCCGATGTATTACATTACTAAAAGTTCCTCTGTTTGTGTTTGTGTTACAGTCTGAGCCACAACAACATCACTGATGCTTCGACTGACCTCTTACTCCAACTGGTCTCCATCAACCCCTCCATTCACTCTGTGCGGTGAGAAAACCATAATTACTGCAGCATTTGTACTCGTAGGCTGACAGAGGAATCATTCATCATTATAAAACTGCTATTCAACGTATTGTTCTGACTGATGTCTGTTCTCTCTGCTTTTGGATTTTTCTAGACTGTTCGAGAACAACATTGTGGAGAGGACATCCTTTGAGAAAGACAAGAAGTTTGAAATATGGTGACCCTCCGTCAGTGTGGGTAGAATCTGCCAATCAGGGAATAACTGATCTATCTCTAACGATCATTACATACTGACTCTGTGTATGATGGGATCCGTTTACATCCATGACTTTTTGTTCTGGAGGTACTATAGATTATTCATTTATGGTACGCATATTTATTACTCTCCTAATTGAACATGGTTAAATTATTTGTGTGTGTCGTGTCAGATTATAATTTGCAAGGGGATGAAATACTTATATCCCACCGTTAAATGCAAATCAATTTTTATCTTTTATATAATGTCAATTTCTGGATTTGCTTTTTGATATTCTTACTCTCACTGTTCAAATAAACCTACCATTCAAATGATAGACTGTTCATACCTTGTGGGCAAAGTTAGAACAACTGCAAGGGATCAAATCATGATTTCCTTCACTGTATATAGATTATGTTTTATACTCTGATTGCCTTTTACTCGGTTCAATAGTATTTTTAGTCCTATATGTTTAACAGAGACATGTTGAGGATTTACATTTCAGGAAGGGCAAAAGGTGGATTTTCAAATGGTTAAAGAACTGGGGTTTAATGGGTTAATGATTGGATGTTTAGATAATGACTGAAGGAAATGATGGGTGGGACCAGGTGGATATTCTCCCTCTACTCTATAATGTGACTGTGAGCAGAACCTCTTTCTCCTCTGAGGATCAAGCTGCTCTGTTCCTGCTTTTCAGATCCATTTCAATTGCATATTTTAATTCTTTTTTACTTTATTAAATATAAAAAAATACAAGCTTTGTCCATGACTCATTTATCAGTTTCTCTTAAGGGAATTAGAATTTCCTCAAAAAGGCCAGAACTGTTGTATCAAAATATGAATTCATGTTTTTCGTACTTTTGATAAGTGTCTTTCTCATCTCAATACCCCTCCTCAACTCCTCTCTTCCCCTCCTCCGGGACTTGACCCGGAAATCGATCAAGACACGCCATTTTGAAGGACGTCCCAATAGCTGAAATGCACACGGAGGCCCAATCCCAAACCACGCCCTACACCCTACCCCTACACACTCCCCCTCCGTGACGGAGTGAACTCCGTGGAGTGACACATGAGGCTCCCTCCTGTCAGATGGAGGGAGTAAATACAGCGGCAAGCTTTGGGACAAACTCCCCTCTCTCCGGCAGAAACAGGAAATGCCGTAACTGTATGTAACAACGGTTTCAAATCAGCATCTCTTTGACAAAAGATGTAAATTAATAACTAAAATAAAACTCCAAACATCTTTCATTGTGTTAAGTTAAAAACATATGAGGTTATCATGAGGTTGTTAACATCGCAATTTATCAGTGGATGTTTGCTGGAACTGACGGACACACACAGCGTTGAGCAGGGGCGGATCGGCCCACTTCAGTACCGGCCCATCGGGATTCGTCCCGAACGTCCCGATGGGCCGGTACTGAAGTGGGCCGATCGGACGATGTGGGCCGGTCGGATAAGTCACCCCCCCCCCCCGTTGACAATTTACTAGCGAGGTGGGCCGGTCGAGAGTCCCGGGCTGATTTGTAGTCCCAGTCCGCCGCTGGCGTTGAGACCGGTCAGGTAGAGACCGGTCTCAAGTCAGCACCGCTGCAGACTCGCTGTTTGAGGGCTTGATAGCCCACTCCCCCTCCACACCGCTCCACACTCGTTGGTTTGGAACAGCACTTAGGCCCAATCCCAAACCGCCCCCTACACACTACCCCTCCGTTCACGCGGAGGGTCCGCCACATTAAGTGCTGTGGAGGATTTGAAAAGCACGATGGTCAAAAGCCAAACGAGTGAAAACTGTGGCGACACAGATCAGGTACAAGGACCACTGCAGTCGAATATTTTACTTTCATCATAATGTGGTTTATAATTTGTCTTTTTACACACCATTAAATGTCAACAACTGTTGATACCAGCCAACAATACACACCTATTGGTACTCGAGGACTGTGGCATAGAGTATGTATTGAAACTGTAGGGGAGATGCAGTATGATGAAGGAAAGTTCCCTTTTTGATTAAATGTTGTAATCATTCCTGTTTTATCTCAGTTCACCTTTACAGCAAGATTTATCTAAATCTACAATGAGACCCTCCAAGACCTTCTTTACACCGGCAAGGCCAGCAAGAGTGATGTCATGTGAAAATATATTTCCTGCTACATATTTTTTTACTTTGATTTTGGGGGGAAAAGCAGCAATAGTGCATTTTCAAGAATTCTAACTTATTGTTCTACAGGTGGACAACAGTGACCAGCAACCTCAGCACCAGCAGCTACACCCCCGGCTGTGTGTCATTTATTCTCATGAGAGGAAGACCATCATTCTTGATCCACTGGGAGAGACCCAGGACAAAATGCAAAGGTGCAAGGACACAACAAGGTGACAAGAAAGCAATTGAAGATATTTCAAAATGGAATAGAAAGTTATGAAATGGAAGAAAGTTAAAGTTATTAAAATAGACCTATATATTGTTCCTTAAGGTCATTCATGCGGAAGAGACGATGCAATGTGTACAGATGGGAATGTAGCAGTCTACCCCATGGACTGCAGGAAGACGGCACATCATCATGCTATATTGTATTACCATGTGATAAATACTTGTGTGTGCTGCTCTTGCTCTTTTGCACTTTTTGCATATCATGTATTTGTTTTTGCTATGTTTGTAAAATGTCATTTTCTTAAATGTTTTATGTGAGGGACTGCGGATTGAAATTAGCTCAAAGCTAACATCTGGCATATTTACGCTTGACACATTTTATTGTTTTAAGTGTTCATTGATATGCATTGTCCCTGCTAAATAAACGATCAAATACAAATGAAATGTGATTATTACCATTTAAATGTTACAGCTTAACATTTTAAGTTCAGCTCACTTGAAAATGTTGAGGCTATCTGTATCCTAGTAAAGTGAACTGCTTTGACATGTAAGGTTCACTTTTTATTATGAGTTGTGCTAATTTAACGTAACTCAGATCTTGAAGTTGTCTAAACCAACTTCTTAGTCATCGTAATGAATAATTTTGAGTTGGGTCTACTCAAGTTTACTGTAATGATATAAGTTGCCTGAACTCAGTACTTTTAAGATGAAACAAATACAAATTAATGATTAACTTTACTTGGAAATTGAGGCAATCTGTTTCCTAACCTTCTTTTGTTATCAAATTTAAAACATATTAATAAATGGGTGAAAATTGCTTGTGTCCATAATGGGCAGCATTAATATACCCACATGACAGCTAAGGTCAGAAGAGCTTTATTTAACACCTGGTCTTATGTCTGTGACCCCTCCTGTTGTGAATTGGTAAGCCTTGAAACATGCACTTGTCAAGGTTCGGAGGCAAATTTTGCAAATATGGCAGTAGCCATCGATCATCTTAAGATAAGATAGGATATACTTTATTGATCCCAAGTTGGGAAATGTTTTTGTTACAGCAGCATGTTCTACTCCACTACAATTCAGAGGTTAACCTGGTATTTTTACTCCTACATTTATTTTAGTTACTTTGCAGATTCTGATTATTAATGATGTGAAATATATACAACCCTTAAATCAGACTTTAGTTACACCTGAGTCAAATTCAGGGAAGGTGATTGTCAAGTGCCAAAATAAACTATGCAATATATTAGACGTTAAGTACTTTGTCAGGCTTAATATTTATCTGTAGTTACCCCCAAAGTTTTTTTCTTATTCAAAATAAGAGCTTAACTTAAAGTATTCTTTAAAGTTTAAATAAAGCCTTATTAGTTTGTCTGTTTTGCACATCCTATTAATATCTTTGGACGTCGTCCACTAAACTGTTTTATTGCAGAGATCACTTGCAGTATCTTCTTGATATTTTCTATTCTATATTTCTATCATTGACCTTCTATTTTCCCCCATTTTGTATGTACTCTTAATATTTAAATGTTTTCATCAAATACATTTCTATATTTATGTATGCATTTATGAATGTATTCCTTTATTTATTTCCACATTTATTTATTTCTGTATTTATTTATTCCTGTATTTATTCATACATGTATTTATGCATGTATTTATTTATTTATACTTATGTCATGATCCGTCTTCCGTAAAAAACTCAAACCCTTTTACCTCCAAGCTGCATTTGCACCGTACCACCGTTTAGTGGAGCTGTTCACCCGCCATTGTGGCACTTTCTCCCTGCCTTCCCCACACTGTAGGCGGTGTGTCGCTCTTTATTGTTCCAGTAGAAAAGCTCCATGCACGGTTTCCCCACATTTGTTGCAATGGCTACCGAGCAGAAACCACGTCCCACCTGAGAGGGAGCGGCTTGGCTGCACAAAAAAGGACTAAAACCGAGCAAAACTTCAAGCACCGAGTGGGAAATAAAAGCTCTTTACTGAGGGACAATCTGTGGATCCTGAAGACAGAGAAGAGGGGGGTAAGGAAATCATGCTATCCAGGTTATAAAGCGAGGTTACACGGTGTATATATAAACCTCACTTACTTGTGATTTAGCCACATTTAGCCACTCCAAAAGGAAACGAGTGTTCAATGAGATATCTTGAAGTGTAATCTCGCGTCCATTGCAGCCAGCCTGTTCATTTTCCTAATCGGCTGAGCTCCAGCTTTTACTGTAAGCTTAATCATAGACAAGGATCTCCAATAAAGTGCTTAAAACGTTAACACGCATTGCAACGTTTCTCGCTAACTGAACGTGTGTTTTCACATCTTTAACGTGGCATTTACTTCGGGTGTTGTTTGTTTTTATATCGTGGATTTTCATGTTGCTTTCATTTCCATTCACCAAACCTCACAATAGGCTTGTCATTGTCATCACATGCATATTAATGTTGAGCACACACACACTAAATCCGTCTCTTGGGTGTGATCAGGTTGCTTTAGCCATAGCCTAAAGGATTACTCTGCTAACCTACATCCTGGGGCATTGCACGCTGCTTTTAATATAGTTTATTTCACTTAAAAAGCTGATGCATGTTGTGGGTTATGTCCCTCTTTCTAGGTTTTGTCATAAACACTGACCAACATACCCTGGAGGATCTAAATGGCACCTATGAGGTGACAAACAAACCTCCTTTCATTTATTGATCTCTTGGGGGCATGTGGTCTTTTTTGCACCGCCCCCCATTTCAGAGTGAGGTCAGAGCACAGGGTCAGCTTTGTCTTAATGGTTGGTGGAGCATGGGGGTTACAAAGATAGATACATATCCTTTATTTACCTTTTATCTCTGGCTCTTCTAATCGTTACATCAGTGTAAAATAATCTTTATCTATTATACCCCTTTCACACCAACGGTGTTTCAGGGCCGGTTCGGTGCTGGTGCTTGAAAAGCACCGGGTTTCCCTGTTCACACCGCAGCAGAGCAGCGTCATAGCTCCGGAATCCGGTTCGTTTCGAGCACCAAAAAGTTGTCCGTCTAGAAGCAAGAACCGCATACGTCACGCTTACGTCGGAGGGGGGCGAGATTAACCTGAGCTAACAGTTAAGGCGAGTACGGCAAATAAAAGTTGTAACAAGCAGTAGTGCTGAGCAAAGTGACTAGAACGCAACCACACACTTGTTAAAAAAAACACACTTTATAAAGTCAGGCAACACTAACCAGGCTTCGTGTGATTCTGTTTATTTGTACCTTACTTTGACCATCCGTTCACTGTTATTGATCATTGTGGAGAGCAGGCAGACGTTTGTTATTATAGCAGCTATCGGATGGAATCAATACATGGGCTGCACAGGTTGTCATGTCCGACTATCACAAGTAGAATCATAATGAAAAATACGCCGGTAAAAAGTGCCTGTAGAAAACGGCTTAGCAAGTAGTCAGTTTAGCTTCGGTTGCTATGCTAACATCACCCATGTTATACCAGAGAAACTTTCATAACAGCGTTGTGATGCCAAACAGCGTCAATTCAGACTGACACCAAACAGCGTCAATTCAGACTGACACACATTCACTTAAGGGGAACTGGGGATATGTATCAGCTGCTTGTGTGACAGTCAGACAGTGAATACTTTAGAGCCGTGTGAGCTAACCCGGAGCTAACGGGAGAATACACTCCCGTTGAAGAGCAGCCGGCCAGCACTGCAGCGGTCGGTAAATGCCGCTGAAACACATTAATAAACAATGAACCACGGCACTCTGGAGAAAAGTATAAGGTTGGAGAAGTCGTTATTTAATTTAATCTGGCTTCGTATGATTAAAAGCAACACAGTCCCCGGCCCGTTGTTGTTGTGAAGTGAGCTCCGGCGTTGGGGAGAAACTCAGCGACGTAAACTGTGACGTCATGACGCAGCAGCGGCAGCACCAGTCGGGCTCTGAGCGGTGTGAAAAGAGCCGGCGCTAAACCGAAGAACCGGTTCTGAACCAGAAAAGCTCTAGCACGGAGCTTGAACCGGAGTTGCGTTGGTGTGAAAGGGGCATTAGTGCGTTTGAGGGTTTAGGAAGGAGGTGGTTTTTGATGATGATGTAGATGTTGCTTCTTCGAATATAGGGTTGTTGTCAATCGATATAACATCCGTGACATTCTCTGTTCAAATCAATATCACACACACACACACACACACACACACACACACACACACACACACACACACACACACACACACTTCTAGAAGGTGTTTGTGTAAAAAGCAATGGCAGAACAGATGGCAAACATTTCTAATTGACAGAAATATATTCACTACATTGCCCTTTCGCCAATTCTCTGTTTGAATCAATATCACACCCATATCACTTGGAGTATTGGTGTGACACTCCCTTTCTTTTATTCTCTCTCTCACACACACACACACGCACACGCACACACACACACACACACCAACACACACACACTCTCCTGAGAGCAGTAGAGCAGCTTAATGGCTCGCCGGGTGCAGAGTGTCACTTTGATAAAACGTCGTACGAAGCTCAGCCCATCGATCTGTCAAGAGCCGTGTTGTGTTTCGGCCTTGATCTCTTGTCAGGTTGTAGCTGTGATATTTGGATTTGATCAGTAGCTTTGTATTTCATATGATCCTCCTGTTGATGGGTAACACACACAGGTAATGGATGAATTCTCTCTAATGGTACTTACAGTGTTGTGCATGTTAATATTGTCTCCGCACTCATTTGCATTGCATTTTAACCTTTTTAAATTATCGTTCTTGACTTGTTTCTGGATTATTTATTCACTTTGGGACTCACACTGCATAATATGAGGGTAATTCACTTAATGCAACCATTCCCAAAACGTTTCTCAGTGAATGTAGGATCTTTTCCAAGTGATAACAGATGGACCGAGTCACCTTTTTCACATATTTTCTTGTCATAATACCAATCCAAATTCTGTCTTTACAAAACAATAGACCTATTCCTGCACGATTTCCTCTGCTTTCTTGTATTATGAGATTCTAACGTTGTATAGACAACTGGTTCCAGCTTTTTAAATGTGCATTTTAGTCTTTTAAACCAGTTTGCATGAAGAAAACTGAATATATTTTGGGGTTTTGGTCAGAATAAAGGAGATATTGGTATTATAAATTACATTTAAAGTGGTAAATCTACAAATTAAGCTACGTTAGTTTAGCCCTGTAGGAGTAAAACCCACATATGTCCATCACATCCCTTTTTGTAGTTAAATTCTTCCTCTTTTAATTCACCATTTCTGTATTTTGGGCATCACTTTCAGTTTTATCCACTGTTGCTCGTCAGGCCTGTTTCAAAACTGGCGAATGTTGCCTATTATGCAACACCACAGGATTTACCCGGTTTATTTGAACTTCAACATATATACGTTTTCATTTGTTTGAAATAATTCAAACCAGATTTGCCCTGTTAAACATAAAGCCTTCTCTGTTGATGCACTTGTTTACACTTGCGCTCACATCCGATTCCCAGAGCCTGGCTTCCCTCTCACAAACTCTTGGGAAACTTTCAGCCAACACCAGTTCAAAGGCTGCGAAGAGGCCTCGTTCCCTTCGAGTTTTAAAGCTGGACGCTCCCACAGTGGCTTCCTTTGTGCCCGTGTGATCTGTATTCCTCTCTACTAAGTCCATTAATAATCCCCAGAAGAGCCCCTACTGAGGAGTTGATGAAACTCCGGCTGCCAAGTTTCTACTCTTTGGAGATAAAGCTGAATTATTCTCCATGTCTTGAATCAACCCGGTCACTTTTGATGCTAATACTTTTATGCAGAGGTGGGAAGTAGTGGAGTACAAATACTTTGTTACTGTACTCAAGTACATTTTTCAGGTATCAGTACTTTACTCCACTACATATTTTTCTGAAGACTTTCTACTTCTTACATGTTGAACACAAATACCTGTACTTTCTACTTCTTACATGTTGAACACAAATACCTGTACTTTCTACTTCTTACATTTTGAACACAAATACCTGTACTTTCTACTTCTTACATGTTGAACACAAATACCTGTACTTTCTACTTCTTACATGTTGAACTCAAATACCTGTACTTTCTACTTCTTACATGTTGAACTCAAATACCTGTACTTTCTACTTCTTACATGTTGAACACAAATACCTGTACTTTCTACTTCTCACATGTTGAACTCAAATACCTGTACTTTCTACTTCTTACATGTTGAACACAAATACCTGTACTTTCTACTTCTTACATGTTGAACCCAAATACCTGTACTTTCTACTTCTTACATGTTGAACACAAATACCTGTACTTTCTACTTCTTACATGTTGAACACAAATACCTGTACTTTCTACTTCTCATTTCCCAAACAGGCTGGTTCCTTTAGTTTGAATGTGTGTTTGGTGGCGTGATCATTATTATTTAGAGTCATTGCGTGCCTATTGATTTGAACACGATCCGTGTATCCATCATTTCCTGGTCTTCTCTAAAGAAGAGGGACCAATGAAAACGTTGTCATGTTGCCGTTGTTCAGCATGGAAACATTCATTAGCTAACAATGACATTATTGTTCTATTAATATAAAGGGAGGTCAGGTACTCTTTAAAACAGCTGCTAGTACATTTCAAAGTTCTTTACTTTCACTTGAGTTAAGAAGTTTAGTCAGTACTTCTACTTTCACCAGAGTATTTTGAAACACGAGTATCTGTACTTCTACTTGAGTAAAGGATGTGTGTACTTCTGGAAAACTATACTATCCACTCTGTACTCTTACTATAGTTGCTGTTTAATGTTTGTGGTTTTAAAAACACTCTTAAAAAGCCCTGAAATTAACCCTACATGCTGCTTAAATGATGAGTGAGTGCAGAGAGGCTGACGACGTGCAACTAACCAACACTTCTGTTTGCACAGTATGATGTTTGTCAGGGTAATTGGCACCTTCTTGTGAGTGAATAATGAGGCAGAGCTATAAAGCTGGCTCTTGAGTTGAGTTGAGTTGCTTTGAGAGACAGAAAGGTAGTAGGGTTTCACAACAGAGGTAAAACTTCTTCTTTTTGTCAAAGCTTGACTCTCTGGACGATACCAAACGACTGATAAACAACCAATAACCGTGTTCATTTCAGTGCATCGGGGAAGTAGAGCATAAGAACAAAAGGCTTTTTCCCACAGGTGTAATGAGTAACTTGAATGTCAGGTCCCTTTTTTTTATTGTCAGGTCACTTACCCAGTTTCCAGTTTCAGCTTTTGTTGCTTTGCAGGTGGAGGGATTAGTAAAAGATGGGGTGTTGAATTCTGCAGAGATTCAGTTCTCACGTTGGAAATAAAACACTAGATTAGGTGTGAAAGAGAGAGGTGGAAATACAGATTATTACACATGTTTTAGGGCAATATATCTTTGTAATTCAGGAAAGAAGAGCACTTTCATTCAGGGGTCAGAGGTCAAATACCCTGGAGCTTGTAGACATGTGCCATATCCGGGGCCTCTTCTTTTGGACTATGCCTATCTGAAGACCCTGCTGTAGGGTTAGATATATTTTCATTATCATATTATCATATTATAAAGAATTGCCTTTTTTAATGTACAAACTTCTTATTCCTAATGCCCCAATAAAGCCTTGAAGTTGCCTCTCTTGGCTCGCTAGCCGGAGATTATTATGATATTTTTTTGATGAATGTTTTCAGCCCCTTTCCCTAAAAGACGACGGTGCACAGCGCCTTCACCAATGAGTCATTTAATATCCTGTCTTTCAGAGAAATGACCATCACTCTGTGGATTTTAAAGATAGTCTCTACAAAACACCACAAATTATACAGCAGCTTTTATTCTCCACATGTGGGCAAAGAAAGCTTGGAGACTTGGAATCAACCTGATGACATCTGTGTTGAAATATGGACTTTAATGAGGATACTCGGGAGAGGAGGATTTGAACATGTGACTACTGAGAAAGATCTAAGGACCGCCCAATGGGTCCCTAATGACGTATTGATTTATCAACAAAGCGATAATGACCAAATGTGTCCGAACCAAGGACAAAACAACAATTGGAGGGATTTAATTATCACTGTCTTGTACGTACACCTCCCATTCCTTCCCATAGACACCAGTGTGTTTGTGTGTTGGCACAATTGCGTTGCCCACTGACTGAAAACATTCCTCAGCCCTGATGTCACCAGCCATCTGAGGGGATATTTATTGTCTGAGGTTGAGGTTTATCAAGGGTGGGATGGAGGTGGGGGTGTCTGAGAGAAAAGAGAGGAGAGGGGGGGGGGAGTGTCTCCGCCTCCATCTTTTGTGTGTTTTCAGACCGTATCTCATCCGCTTTGATTCGTGTCTGAACTGGTCTTGAAACGGCGCTCTGTGTTTGGTTTGAAGGATATCCCACCTGCATGTGCTGCAGCTGGAGTAAGTGTGTGTGTGTGTGTCTAGCAACATGTCTGTCTGAGTCTTTTTGTGTGTCGGCCAGACTCAAAAAGTTTAGCTTCTGTAGTCTGTGGTTTAAATACACAGTCATGTCATCATCCTGACCTATAAAGCAATCCCCACTGAAGACTCACTGACTAAATGTCTTGGTGGTTTTTTTCCTACATTGTGCAAGGCCAATTTAATCTAGACTGAATAAACGTCAGCGCATTTCTATTTTCTAATCAAACACAACGTTTTCCATGTTGGGAATGTATTTGAACAGACACTCAAATGTATTTTTCCACATTTATTGACATTTATACCGGAAAGCTACTGTTTTCTAAGGAAATGTACATTTTATTGTATTTTTTTCTCCAAAAGTTCATGTTTAAATACAGGAACTCCTTATAAGGGAATTGTGTACATATATGTACCACCACACCACACAGGATGCGATGCTATTTAGAATAGATGCTGGGATGTGAGAGGGAATGCTGGATCCTTACGGCTTAAAAAGTGCCTGTTTTCAGGAGACCAAAATACCCCAAATCACAGACTCAACAGATTATTGGCTTTGCTTGCTTGAAGCGCATAGAAAGACACAAACTGAACCCCAAATGTTGAGTAAGGCAAGTGTATTAGTATAGCACTGTGCTTAAGAGCATTAAGAAATAGTGCATCAGAAACACATTATGAAATGACATTCAAAAAAATGTCCTCTATATATGTTGCACTGTTGGAGGAGCCTGTGGCATGGACATATCTACACTGTAGCTACTGTGCAAATGACAATAAAGCCTTGAATTGAATGTGTAATTTAATTCTAGGTAGCATCTTGATCGCCCGTCATCATGGTGGAACCAGCGGAGAGGCCTTCTGCAGCCGGACAGAGGCTGAGCGCTCCGGATAGTTTTGGGATTTCAACGTTGGAGCCTGGCCACCGTCCTCCTCCTGCTCAGAGTCCTCCAGGAAGACAGGTGTCCATACGGGTCCAAATGCTCGACGACACACAGGAAGTCTTCCAGATATCGGTGAGTTATGTGTGTGTGTGTTGTGAGGGTACAGAAATAATCCTCTCTGCAATGTTGAATGAATTTGTTTAAGGTGACACAAGATATGAGATGAGATAGTTCACTATGCTCCATTTACCTTTTAGTCATATCTCCACTTTATGGGGAACACAGGAAGTGGGATAAAAACCAGCTTCCTGTCTAAACACACACAAGCCTCTGCTTTTCAAATGGCTGATTCAATGCTAACAAGTCTCTCTCTCATGATGCTCCATGCTATTATGGTTTGTAATAAGCACTCCTCTTTCTTGTGTTACTATCTTCCCATCATTATGGCCTTTATCCCTATGCTCTCATTTGCTTAGTCACAAACACACATAACTGTATTCTTTGTAGAGGTCAGTATTCACCGTCATCCGGCTTCTTAAGCATTTGCATGTGCTTGCATTTGAGTGAGTCTGTTTGGATAAAGGCATCCTCTGAGAGCAGCTTTAATGAAATCGTTGCTGCCGTGCACTGGTATGTCATCTCCGTGTGGGAGTAGTCTTGTGTTTTCAGAATTAATGGCCACAGCAAATTGACAGAGAGCTTTGTGCCGGTGATTTGCATGCCATTCAGAAAAACCCCAGACGCTGTATTATCAGCTTTTGTGATGATAATTAAGAAGGATTGCCTCAGCTGGGTTTTCTAAAACATCCAGAGCTGCCAGATCCAGGAGCCCTAATTGGCTCTTGTGGAAAATGCCAGGAATGCATGTGGTTGTTCGTGTGTCAGTGCCTCAGGACGTGTCTGTGGACGGTTTGACAGACGACTGGGATCTACAGTAGTGTGTGAGGGATGTTATCTGCATGTGTGTGTGTTTTTACAGCATTTTTCAAAATCCTAAATTGACTTCTTCTCAATTTGTGGTTCTCCACTAAGCAGCAGCAGCAGCAGCAGTAGACCCCTTCAGACCCCATTTTATATATTTTAAGTGTGTTGTTTTTATGAATTTACGATAGCTTGTTACACACACACACACACACACTCACACACACACACAAATGAAATGTCCTATTTCTGTGGAACATCTTTAGACGTCACGGCTCAATCAACAGTTGAGGGAAAAAAAGGCATCAGCTGACAGCAGTGTGACCACAAAAAATACAAACATTACACACACACACACACACACACACACACACACACACACACACACACACACACACACACACACACACACACACACACACACACACACACACACACACACACACACACACACACACACACACACACACACACACACACACACACACACACACACCTTTCGTTGCTGTTGCAAAATGGGAACCAGCAGAGGACCAGACTGAGATGAATGGATGGGAGATGGATGGAAGGGAAAGAGAGCTGAGGAGAAAAAGCCTTGAAAGTGAACCAGCCAAATAAATGACTTATCGGTGCTTATCACGGTGAAATAAGGGAGGCATTGTCTCTACAGCTTGACTAAAAAAAAAGTGTCTTTCTCCTGCTACAGTGCCTGCCGTTGTGTTTGTGCAGAAGGTGTAGTCTAACGTGTGAATCGAAAGATAAGCCTGCAGCTCACACTAACGCTGGCACTAGAATCGGGCATTTTGTCAACACGGGGAGGAACAAAATGGAAGGCCAGATCATAAAAAGGGGCGCTATTATAGTCATTTTCAGGTTCACATTTTGTGTCTCCACGCTTTAATGTTCAAAAAGCTCTTTTTTTTCTCATACTGCCTGTGCTGCAGCACCTCTTTTCACCCTCTGTCTGAAACCAGAGCCCAGTCTGCTCTGATTGATTAGCTGGACGGCTCTGTTGTGATTGGTCAACCTCTTAGAGATGTCCCGCCCATTAGCCTATCACGTACAATGTGTTGGAGCGCTAGCCAATAGAAGCTTGGGTGTTACTTAGTGATGTCTCTTTGTAAGACCATTATCATCTTCTGACTATAGATCACATGGGAAAGCTTTTCTTTTGTATTTTGATTATTTATTGTCATGTGTCTTTTCCTCTCAGCTGACGTTGAGAATAATGTACATTGTTTGAGTATACATAACATGAATTAAACATTGCAGAAAGACCTTGGCACACACTGCATTAGTGGCACACACACACACACACACACTTGGAGACTTCATTATTGATGTGGAAGTGTGTGTGTGTGTCATCACTAACTCCCACCTGGTGAATAATTGAAGGTAGAGAGGATGTGCGGTGTGTGTGTGTATTTGCAAGTATGTGTGTTACTGATTTACTTTTAGTTGGTTTCACCTGTCTTTGATGTAATTCAGTGAAGCCATGCCTTTTTGTGGAGTCTTACACATGTTTCTTTAACTCTGCACTGGCCCAGATTTACAGTTTTTAATTAGTTTAATCTGCAGTGTTTACTTGTATGTCAGAGAGAAACGTGATTTCCATCATGAGGTCAAAGCATCAGAGCAAAGGAGGCGAATTGTCCCAAGGAAACCATGTTGGTTTTTGTGGTGGAAAATCAAAAAACACAGTGACATGTGACTCCATTTGACTACACCTACTACATGTGTTGTTTATATAAAAAGAGCAGTATCATGACTTAAAATTGAGGGCAAGTGTGCTTCTTTTGTTTATCTATCAGTGGTGTTTAATGTTATTCTTGCCTGACATGCTTACTTGACCCTAATCCAGCAAGAACATCCAATATATACACAAATCGACCCTGAATTTCTCAGAGGATGTCAGGATTTAGAAACCGATATCAGGAGAGTGTGTGTGTGGTGTGTGTGTGTGTGTGTGTGTGTGTGTTGTGTGTGTGTGTGTGTGATGTGTGTGTGTGTGTGTGTGTGTGGTGTGTGTGGTGTGTGTGGGTGTGTGTGTGTGTGTGTGTGTGTGTGTGTGTGTGTGTGTGTGTGTGTGTGTGTGTGTGTGTGTGTGTGTGGTGTGTGTGTGTGTGTGTGTGTGTGTGTGGTGTGTGTGTGTGTGTGTGTGTGTGTGTGTGTGTGTGTGTGTGTGTGTGTGTGTGTGTGTTGTGTGTGTGTGTGTGTGTGTGTGTGTGTGTGTGTGTGTGTGTGTGTGTGTGTGATGTAAGCCTGTTCAGGTACCATAGAGTGGCGAAGTCCCTCCCACTTACTTCCGGGGTATGGGACCTTATTTCGGAAAAATTATGCATTGAAGTCAATGGGGAGAGAAAACTTATCTTTCGATCCCGTTTGAATTGTGCCATGAATTACACATATGATGTTTGTCAATCTTAAAAAATTATTTCCATGTAAAAAAAGTCACAGTTTGTCTTAAAACTGTTGAAATATAAGACTTTGAAAAATACGAAACTAGAAAGACTACAAATCCCAGAGTCGCGTAAGTGATGTCACAATTGAGACACTACGATACACGTATAATACCGTATATATACGAATCAGCGCCATATAGATAGAATCTATCTATATGGCGCTGGCTAAGATAAGATAACTTTGTGCCTGTGTGCTTAGTACCAGGTTGTTATTATACCAGCAATGGGTCTTGCTCGTTCTTTCGCTTCCCGTCTGATGAAAGAGGAGTGTGTGGATCAAGTTAGCTACCTAGCTAGTAGCTAGCACGTTAGTTAGCATTACAGCCTTGTCATTTTTATTAGCCTTAACATGAAGTAACATTAAGTAACCCAAAATGTTAAACAGTAAGAGTAGTAGTCATATTTCGTGAACCCTTTGAAGAGTACTGTCACCGGTGTGATCATTCTATAATACACAATTTAAGCCCGGGGGAGAAATGCTAACGCTAACGCTAGCGATCTTCTCTACTTCATGCTATCTGCACAAATGGTTGACATTAAACATTAAAACGACCAGGCAGTTCAGAGAGAATCAAAGGAAGGCAGGCAGGCAGCTTTGCATGACATTCTTCAGGACGTGTTTCATTGTGGTGATAGTGAGGGTAGTCTCTTGTGTTGACAAGACAGTAGTGACGGCCATCTTGGTGACGTGTGTTGTTGACCAGAGATCAGATGTAGTTCTTTGAGCGTTTCACACAAACAAATGTGTTACTTCACAGTTTTACGACACATTTTTTTTTTTTTTGACTTGCAAAATTATCTTTTAAATTGACAAACAACATATGTGTAATTCATGGCACAATTCAAACGGGATCGAAAGATAATCTTTCTCTCTCCATTGACTTCAATACATAATTTTTCCGAAATAAGGTCCCATGGAGGTCCACCGGAAGGGGAGGGACTTCGCCACTCTATAAGATCCCTCTGAGGTTTTGATTGGATGCTTTATGATCCGCTTGACCTTGTGTGTGTGTGGGAATAAAAGAGGAGAAGATACAGGGGGGAGGGTTATGAGGATTAGATCCACTTTACAGACAACATCATTTGATAAACCACCCGTCCCTTAGGGGCTTTGATAGATGAGCTACAAGTCCCCTGCCATATTATGCACAAGCACACACACACGCTAACTCTTTAGCTCCATTGTTTACCCGCTGACATTTAAAATTGATCGGCCTTTGTGCTGTCGGCCAACGTGGGAGTAAATGACACATGTGGAATGAGCTTATATTAAACCATCTGGGAGCTTTTATTTTGAAACACAGCTTCTATAGAGACCCTGTTAAGCTCAATATACCATGTAGGAGCTTTTATTTTGAAACACAGCTTCTATAGAGACCCTGTTAAGCTCAATATACCATGTAGGAGCTTTTATTTTGAAACACAGCTTCTATAGAGACCCTGTTAAGCTCAATATACCATGTAGGAGCTTTTATTTTGAAACACAACTTCTATAGAGACCCTGTTAAGCTCAATATACCATGTAGGAGCTTTTATTTTGAAAACCCAGCTTCTATAGAGACCCTGTTCAGCTCAATATACCATGTAGGAGCTTTTATTTTGAAACACAGCTTCTATAGAGACCCTGTTAAGCTCAATATACCATGTAGGAGCTTTTATTTTGAAACACAGCTTCTATAGAGACCCTGTTAAGCTCAATATACCATGTAGGAGCTTTTATTTTGAAACACAGCTTCTATAGAGACCCTG